CGCCAGGGGCCCCCGCCGGCGGTTGGTGGCCCCCCCGCCCAGCCGCTATGGGCAGCGAGAGGCCTCTCCCGTCCCTTGGCAGTGCGGCACCTGGTGTGTGCCTTGCTCGGCTCGGTAGGGTGTGGGTGCCTGGGTCGCCTCTGCCTCAGTGGGAGCGAGGCCTTGTTTGTGGCTGAGAGGGGACCGAGGGGCTGGCTTGCATCCTTGCTCTGCGGTTGTTATTTTTGAAGAAAAATATATAGCAAAGTGCATAAGAAGTTCTCATGTCTGTGTTATCTTGAAGCAACCACTGCTGTTACCCACCAAACACCCCTCATTCTCCTTTCCTGAGATGGCAGTGGTTTGGCCAGTGCTCAGCCTGCAGATCTGTGTTGTCTGAATTGCCATAACTCTGCTCTGCTTGCCTGCATTTGTGTATGATCTATATAGGCAAAGAAAACAAATGTCTAGTGCCTAAAATAAGAGGAGTTCCTGTTGAAGTCCAGGAGTATGGAAATAATAAGATGGCTTCATTGAGGTAGATTTATAAGAACAGATCTGCAAATTGTATGCATATCATGCGAGATGTATCTAGTGTCAGAAGTTGATAAGGTTAAGTCAGTAGTCAACTGAATCTTCCAAGAAAATCCAGGTAACTAACTGAATTAGTCCAGTTTCCATCACTCATCTATGAGCCTGCATGTAAGCGTCAACTTGGATCACTTCTGTCTGCCTTCCTTGGCTTCTTGGTCTTTCTCTGAGGACTGTGCCTTTCACTTCTTGCTCCAAAGTAGTCATGTTCTCATTGAACATATACTGTTCTGTTGGGCTTTCTTCTGCAATATCACTGAGTTTAAAATGAGAATACTCAATGAATGCTGCAACTGTATTTGGATATGTGATAAATTCACATATTTTTACTAGTTTTGTGTTAATTCAGGACAATAAATTACCTATCATAAGTTATTGTTTTCTTATTCATGATTTTCAGTGTTCTGAGAAAGACGGAAACTTTTTTAAATTTCTTGGATTTGGGGGGGGGCTTGCTCTGTTATTTTGAGGGGGTTTTTTTGTAAGATCTTCCTACAAACGTGCAATTTGGAAGTAAATTTTGGATAGGTGGAAATCATGAGATTTGGAGGTTGAATTTTTGTTTGGTTTATCTTTTAGGGAATTATGCTTTTTACTGCAAGTCATCTATCCTTGTATGATGTGTCAAAAGTGGGCAAGAAGAATTAAACAGTGAAGTAAATGGCTGACAACTTCCCACATGAGACTTTATGTGGAATACCAGATGACAGAAGAAAGGCAGGAGCTGCTGGTCATCTGTCTTAGACCCATCATTACAGATGAGGTGAAGTGAAGGCAGCAGCAGCATTCTCTCCCTTCAACCTCACCTTCCCCCTTGCCCTCACAAGATCCTGATATGTATTTCGGCATCTACTTGGCAAAGCAGTGATAGCAGATAGAACTAGACTTCCATAAGCAGTTGCTTCTGCTCTTCTTATTTTGCCAAGAGTATGAAAAGACTTCTCCATGGGACAATTACAGATTAGCCGTTTGTCCACCTGCCTTCCCGCTGCAAGTAATGAGATCGAACCTAACCTTTTCCCCCGACTTGACAGCTGAATGCGAGCGGGTGGCGTGTCTGCTCTGCACAGATACTGCCTCTTTCATTCTGGTTTCAAGAACTGATGAGAAAACGCGTTTTCACTAGCTTCTGTTCACTGTGCTCTCATAAGCGATAGTGGAGTAAGTGGCTTCTGTTTGTCTTGATTTAAATTTGAAGATCCTTGGGACTGAAACTGAGTCGAGCCCTCTCAGCTGCAGTTGAAAGTGGCTTTCCTCACCCTAGGCACGGTTGGTCTCCCGTTATACTGAAGCTCATGACATTAAGGACTGATCACTGTTACCATCGCTTTGCGCTGTACTTGTGCTTAATATTTTGGAGTGATTTTCTGTCTCCGTTGACAGGTGGCTCCGAAGGGCCTGCCACAGGTGATCACCATGTCTTGCGGATCCTGCTCTAATGAAAATGCCTTTAAAGCAATATTTATGTGGTACAGAGTGAGTAAAATATTAAGATTTTTTTGTAGGTTTAGATGTAGAAATGAGTATTTATTCATCGTCAGAACTGTTACTGTAAAACAAAGTACAGGAGGAGAGGAACGGCTGAGGGAGCTGGGGTTGTTTAGTCTGGAGAAGAGGAGGCTGAGGGGAGACCTTATTGATCTCTACAACTCCCTGAAAGGAGGTTGTAGCGAGGTGGGGGTCAGTCTCTTCTCCCAAGTAACAAGTGATAGGAGAAGAGGAAACGGCCTCAAGCTGCGCCAGGGGAAGTTTAGGTTGGATATTAGGAAAAACTTCTTCACCGAAAGGGTAGTCAGGCACTGGAACAGGCTGCCCAGGGAAGTAGTTGAGTCTCCATCCCTGGAGGTATTTAAAAGAAGGGTAGACGTGGCACTTAGGGACATGGTTTAGTGGTGGACTTGGCAGTGTTAGGTTAACGGTTGGACTCGATGGGCTTAAAGGTCTTTTCCAACCTAAATGATTCTATGAAAAATAGGAATTCCACAATTTCCTTTACTTGATATCTGTTAGTCATAAGAAAATAACTGCTTTTATCATGACCAGGTAATTCTTCTCCTCTCTACTTCTATTGAATCCCATATACCAGTATGTGTGTGTGTTGGAAGTGAGGTAGAATTTACACAGCTGCACAGGGGATTTAGCAAGCATGGTGGCATCAGCTCAGATTTGGTTAGTACACGTAAGGAACAGGTTCATGCTCAGGACTTTCCAATTCCAATCGCATACAAAAAATCTGCACCAGAAGTTAGGGAGCACCTGCTATCTAGTTTCTTCTAGCACTCTGAAGATAACTGCTTCTTTGCCACGCCGGAATTTTCCATCTCTGTGTTCAGTGTTTGGTTTGATACTAGCTGCTCTCCTGACTTTCTTCCTTTTGTCCAAACTAAGTATAACAATATGGTGAAGGGTATGTCTCAAATTCCTTTAAGACTCATTCAAGCCTAATCACTGTCTTCTCTCAGAAACCATATGTTCTTCAAAGCAAGTTAGACTGTGAAAAGAAACGAAGTTTCTGCGTAAATGTGACTTTGAAATGTCTTTGCTTTTTCTGTGGCATTCTCAGTGTGAGAGCCACGTGAATGTGGGAGCTGAAGATGAGTGCTGCTGCACAGATCTGAAGTCATTTTGCCTGGAGTTAATTTGCAAAATGCTTTCGTTGAAGCACTTGGACTCTCTCCAGAGATTCTTTTGCATAAGCAGCGCACTAACATCTGTGTCTCATTCACAGGCACAGACTTCTGCTAAACCTCTTCAGGTTTGAGAACCTCTGCAACTCCCACCCCCAGCTATGTTTGTTGTATAAGTAAGGGAGGAAGAGCCATCAGATTACAAGCCTATATGTCTCTTTCAAAAGGTTGGCAAATAATATTTCACCTGGCAGGGGGAGAAGTGTAAGAAGGCTGGGTGAATAAGCAGCTCTTTGCTCTAATGTGTGACAACACATTAAATCCTTGGCAATTCCTATGTAATCAGAAGCTGAAAAGTGTTGCTTTATTACATCCTTATTTAAAGGAAGTAAACATCTTGTGTTCGCTAGATACAAAATGTGACTTAAGTATGAAAATTCTCAGAACTGTTCTTCCACCAAGTGGATTGGTAGAATTGCAAGAAGTAACTTTATATAGATTCTGACATTATGCTGCTGAGATGTTGTAGAATAATTAGCTGTGGAGATGTTACATCCCTGCAGTATTTGCTTTGAGGGAGGTGGGTCCCTGCTGAATCTGTAGAATAAAGAAATGCATTTACCCACTTTGACGGTTTTTTCATGTGTATAAATAAAGTCATATTCTACTTCATTAACCCTAACATTTCCTACCTGTCAGCTAAAATCAGGTAAACCTGTTACCAAGACAGTTTGATGTTTCTATTGGTTTTGTAGTCCCTGAAAAGTGCTAGTTAATTCATGTTTGTATACTAACCTAACTGTGCATAGTATTTACTGAGTGGTGCAGTATTCTTACTGTCCTACCACATCTTTTGCAGACTAGTCCTTTTGCCATGGAAGCTGAAGAAATGATGGAATGTATCCAGGAATTCCCTGAACACTATAAAGTTATTTTGGATAGACTGAATGAACAACGTGAGCAGGACCAGTTTACGGATATCACTCTGATTGTCGATGGTATGTACAGGCCTGAGAACCAGTTGGTATACAGAGAATTCTGAAAGCTGTGCTGGGAAGCTGTTGAGTTTGTCACAGGTCAGCTGTCAAACTGGGTTGCTAACAAATTCTTGGTTCTGTATTGGTGTTCGAGTTGCTTGCAGAGATTCATTTAAAATATTGGTGTGACCAGTGTCTCCAGCAGGGATTAATAATTTTGCTTCTGCTTTTCCAAATAAAGGGCTAAATATCTTCAGATAGAAGCCCGCTTTGAAACTGCTGTACTACATTTAACATACTGTCTAAGGATTTCCAAAACATTGTAAAAATATCTTTCCTGACTTGAGCTGACTGTTTGCATGCAGAGAACTTATACAAATATTGGTTGATTGTTTTATTTCAAGCTGGGTTTTTTCTTTTAAGATTGCCTTCTTGCTTCTCTGGTATCTGTCTACTATTTTAATATATAGTTAAAATAGGGTAGAACAACTCACATTTCTTTTTCTAAAGACATAAGTATTGGTTTAAAAGGAAGACTGAGATATAAGTGCTTATTATCTCATTAGAAAAGGTGGCGTCTGATATATCACCTAAGATTGCTTCTTATCCCAAACATGTCTTAGAATAGATGAGCACGTCAAGGAAGATAGGCAGTGTCCACTAGGACAGACCTAGCTAAAGGAGTACCACTTGGTCCTTAAAAGGATAGCAAGAACTCACTTGAAGGAAAAGGGTCCTACAGAGCCTGGATTAGAAAAAAGTAAGCAAATGAAGAAAAAATTACTCTTCTGGAATCACCATAGTTTCACTGACAGCACTTGTGCAAAACTTATCCTGAATGTTTGTTCCTGCTCTAGTGTTACCAAATCCATGTGTTGAGCTCAAAACTGTTTTCTTGTGCAGCCATGTAGTTCTAATCCATGTTGCTTCTCTTACCTCTGTCCCACGGAGCCTTATGAATGTTCATGCCTGCACCAGGGAGAAGGCAACACAGTGATGGGGAATACACAGTCTGGAAAACAGGAAGAACAGAGCAGAACTACTTCTGTTCTGCAGGGGTCTTTATGCTGGCAGAAGTGATGATAAAATACATCCGTATGTAAAAGCAGCAAAAACCAAGGAGAGCCTGGATAAAACCTGAGAGCTGAGCCTAAGACATACAGGAAAAAGTTTCCACAGGAATTTCCCATAACTTAAATATCTGAAAAGGGAAACACTCTGGAGTGATTGAGTCCTCCAGCTGATTGAGTTGCAGAGCTTCAGCAAGGTCAGTGATGTCAGCAAGGGACTGCATGAGATGGGACAGGCTAGCTGCAGTGGTATCCCATGTTACAAGGAGACATACTAAGTGACTATATGCTGCTGGAATGGATTTGTAGACTGGGTGGTTCTGCAGCCGTTCTCTTCTCTGCATCTGCACTTATTCTGCACTATGAGTAAGGAAGGTGTTATACTAAACCAAAATTTTTGTCTCTCTTTGTAGGTCACCATTTCAAAGCTCATAAGGCTGTTCTTGCTGCCTGTAGCCAGTTCTTCTACAAATTCTTCCAAGATTTCACTCAGGAGCCCTTGGTGGAGATTGAAGGTAGTACTATTCATGCAAATAAAAACCTTCAGAGTTATGTGCCCAAGCTCAAAATGAATGTGGTATCCTTGGTATGAGCTTAAATGCATGCTTGGTCATATCAATTAGCTTTCTAGATCTCGGCTCTTGAGTTGTTCTGAGGTAGTGTCATGGTTTAACCCTGGCCAGCAACTAAGCACCACACAGCCAGGCTTGTTCATTCCCCCCCAGTGAGATGGGGGGAAGAATCGGAAGGGTAAAAGTGAGAAAGAAACTCGTGGGTTGAGATAAAAACAGTTTAATAATTAAAAAGAAATAATTTTTTTTTAATGGTAAGGAAAAGAGAAAAAAATAACAAAGAGAGAGGAAAATAAAACCCAAGAAAGACAAGCGATGCAAATGAAAACAATTGCTTTCCACCAACTGACCAATGCCCAGCCAGTCCCCGAGCAGTGTCCTCTCCGCCCACCTCCCCCCCAGTTTTATTGCTGAGCATGACATCATATGGTATGGAATATCCCTTTGGTCAGTTGGGGTCAACTGTACCAACTGTGTCCCCTCCCAACTTTTTGTGCACATCCGACCTACTCACTGGCAGGGCAGTGCGAGGAGTAGAAAAGGCCTTGACACTGTAAGCACTGCTCAGCAGTAACTAAAACATCTCTGTATTATCAACACTGTTTTCAGCACAAATCCAAAACATAGCCCCATACTAGCTACTATGAAGAAATTTAACTCTATCCCAGCCAAAACCAGTATAGGTAGCTATCACCATGGGAAAAAAACTTCCCCTGAAGAAAAACTAAAAAGAAAAAGATGCCTTGGCTGGGGTGTAAGAACAGGATAGATGTGGAGCAATACTTGCCTGCTAGGCAAGGAGCAATTTCCTGGAGCAATACTTAGCTTCCGGTAACTTGATACTCAGAGGTCTCTTGAGAGAGAGATCATATTTTTATGTTTAAATTTATACTTTTTATTATTCTATACAAACAGCTTTTTGTCCATCTTATCCTTCCTTTTATCTTTTATCTTTGTTGTGGCATGACTCTGTAGTTGTTCCAGATTCGCATGTTTCTATAGTAGACTTTTTATTCCAATGTGAGCCTTTCAAGGGTGGTATCTTCATGAAACTGGCTGTCAAAATACTGTGAGCAGGCAAGCATGCAAGATTTGGCAGATAGATGAGACTGAGGAATTGCTAAAAGAGGCTGGTTTTCTTGCTTGTAAACAGGTGTAAGTAACATGGCATTTCGTCACCTAATTGAGTTCACCTATACAGCAAAACTAATGGTCCAAGGTGAGGAAGAAGCAAATGATGTTTGGAAAGCAGCTGAGTATCTACAGATGTTAGAAGCTATCAAAGCACTTGAAATCAGGTAAACACATAAGCCTCTTTTTCTTCCCAACACTGAAATGTAGAGTCTTAAGAATCCTTTTATGAGAGCTGGTTGCCAGTATTTTGCAGTGTTGTTTGGCTAAAAAATGAACATCACATTCTTTGGGCTGGAACTCGATGACAAGTGACGTGGCTGGTAAATGTTGCAGACGTAGGGCTGTGACTTTGTGGTAACTAATACCAGGTCTCTGTGCTATCTGACTGCCCACACCTGATTTGAGAGCTGGGTGTACAGTGACGATGTGTCTCAGGTAATTAGACTGCATTAACAAGTTTGTGCTGGTGTTTTGATTTCATGCAGCTTTCTGCTTTCAAGAGAATAGGTAGTGATTTTAAAACTTCTTGGTGCAAAATTAATCTCTCAAACCTCTTGAATGAATGTAATTGTTATAATCAGTTTTATATGGAATCAGTACTTAATCAAATGTTGCTGTGGCACCTTTTATCTAGTACCAGGAACTGTACTCCATTACCAAACTCCAACCTGAGAAAAGCAGGTGCCATTCCCATTATGCTGGTTTTCTTCCCCTTCCTTCCCTTTCACAAAGTGCTGTCATGTTCTCATTCCTTCTGTATGCTACACTGTTCTTCTGTCATGAAGTAGAGGGAGGGGCAATAAATGCCTCCCAGCATTATGGTTATCCTTGCTTTCTCTTCTAGACCTGCTGAAAGGTCTTTGTGTTCAGGCATAAGGACAGACTGTTGCTTTTTCTTTATCTCTCCATAGACCCACTAGTTAAGGAGAGTGGCATTGACCCCGAGTTCCTCTATTAGCTAGCTAACTTTTTAACAAACAAACAAACAAACAAAACCTCCATGACATGGTACACTGGAAACTTGGTTTTCAACATCAGTGTTGATTTTTTTTTTTTAATCAACTTATTCTGTGCTTATTCTGTGGATTGGTAGCAGAGCTGAATAATTATGTAATTTTTTTTTAATAGGAAAGATGTGATTGTGCATTTCTAGTCCCACCCTCCAACCCCACCAACACCCTTTTTTTGACATTATTAAGATTAAGCATGGTATCACCAAAAGAACTTTTTTTTTTTTTTTTTCATTCAGGAAAAAAGCAGACCTTTGCTGTCTGCTTGAGAAATTTAAGAAACTTGAAACTGAAAAAGTATGTTCTAATTGGTATCACTGAGTCTATGTACACCGGTAGAGCTGTTGAACCAGGATTCAGATCAGTCCGTCAAGCTAAACTGTCCAGCCTGCAATTATTTCCCACTATTGTATAATGTTATGCAGTTTGTTGGTTATGCATCACTAGTAAATGTTGTAGCTCTTATGTTACAAGGAAACAAATGTTTTGCTTAACAAATACATGTGCAAGCCAGTCTATTCTTAGAGTTATTTCCATTGTTCATAGGTTTTGAAAAGTTTTTTTGGTGGGTTTTTTTGGTTAGAAAAACAAACTTGAGTACCACTGTCAGTTTCTGTTTTCTCCTCCACAGTAGGAGGGGAAAGAATTGCAATACAGTGCCTCTGTTTGAGCTTTGACTGAAAGGGGTAAGCTTCAGAAAGTTCAGCTAAAGTAGAGATTATTATAGAACTAACTATTTCTATAATGCATCAGAGTTGCACATCACACAATCTAGACTAGAAAGAAAACAACCAGCTGTTATTCCTTGAAGTACAGTTATGTTGTATGTGTGTATCCCCATTCAAAGTTTCACACCTGAGCCACACAATGTGCTCAAGGACAGTAGTCTCCTCTTTGCTGAGCAGATTATTATTTTGGTACGTGATCCTGGAGCTCCTTGCAGTAATGTGCAAAGTAACTGTCACCTTCTAGACATTGGAAATCCAGGCTAGATGAAACTATAAGTTTAACTGCTCTGTCTTCCTGTATCTGAATATAGTAAGGTGCAATTTAATAAGCTGTATCCTGCATTAGGTCATTAGCCACACATCTCTGCCATATAATGTACAGATACCGGAGAAAAACCTTCTCTCTTCTATTACTAGAAAACCTGAAAGTGATAGGGAGTAGGTTACACAAAAGGATTCTTCAGGCTGCAAAGGAAGATAAAAGCACAAATTACTCGTCAGTCTCATTTGAGGGGAAGATAGCCACTCATTTTCGAAACTGATAATCAGTAGTAAAACCTCCAGCATGTAAGTGCTGTGGATAATCATGAGGGTGTGACTTGAAAGCATTGTCCCGCTCAGTTCTGTCTGTGTTTGAGATGGGATGCTATCCCTGACATCTTGGAGGAAGGGGGTTGTGTGTTTATGGTGCAAGGAGAAGAGGAAGAGCTGGGGGTTGTGTTTAAGCCCAGAAAATTAAACTAGAATACTCTTTCCACATCCCAGTGGCATTTTTTTTTACCTCAGCTGTTAGCTGTGTGCTTTCCTGAAGTATAAGATGTTATAATAATCATTTTTTGAAGTCACAGCTGTAGTGTTTTCTAACAAGCTGTAAGCACTGCAGGCAATTGCATGCACTCCAGAGCTTAAGAGGTGAATAGCGTAGGAAGGACTTGAATCTTATTTCTGAGTAGGCAGGCGAAAGAACTTCCTTTGGGGAAGTCTTCTTTCCAAGTACATAATTTCACAAGTTTCTTAGATAAACCTATGTCATTAGACTAACTGGCCTTTCTTCTTGATAGGTGGTGTGTATCATTCAAGCAGAGCTATTTAAAACGCTTTAGTAACTTTATGTCAAAGTCTCCACAGCTTTAACCATGCTATTCTACAGCTCTAAGGAGTATAGATTAAAGACAAATTAGCTTCTGAAATGCATGCAGGTTATGTGGTCATTCATCATTCAGCTTCTTTGAGAAACAGCTAGCAAGTGTTTAATGCAGAAGCTCAGTATCAGGCAGGAATTGTTATGTAAGTGCTTATGGATCTTAACTATGTTTATGCAAATGCTTTGCAGGAACAAAGAAAATTCATCACCCTTAGAATCAAATCAAACACAAAGTAAAAATAAACCAAAAAAGAGGAAGATAGCTGAAACCTCTAATGTTATCACAGAAACACTGCCATTTGCAGAATCGGAGCCTGTTGAAATTGAGGTTGAGATTGCTGAGGGGACAATTGAAGTGGAAGATGACAGCATCGAAACACTTGAAGTAGCTTCTGCAGAGCAATCTATAAAGTACATACAGACAACGGGTACATCAGATGAATCTGCTTTGGCTCTTTTGGCAGATATCACCAGTAAGTATCGTCAGGGAGAAACAAAATGCCAGATCCAAGAAGAAGGTGATAGTGCAACTGATCCCTTGTGCAAACAGGTAGAAGGTATTGAAATTGTGGAACTTCAGCTATCACATGTGAAGAATTTATTCCACTGTGAGAAATGTAACCGTTCATTTAAATTGTTTTACCATTTTAAGGAACACATGAAAACACACTCTACTGAGAGTTACAAGTGTGACATATGCAATAAAAGGTACCTACGAGAGAGTGCTTTGAAACAGCACCTCACCTGTTACCACCTCGATGAAAGTGGTGCCAGCAAGAAGCAAAGACCTGGCAAAAAAATACATATATGCCAGTACTGTGATAAGCAGTTTGACCACTTTGGACATTTTAAAGAGCACCTCCGGAAGCACACAGGTAAGAGCACTGCTAAGGTCCTGTACTTGTGGCTTTGGCTCTAGCGTTTTGGGGAAATAGAGAATATGCTGAAGAGAACATGTGAGTCCTGAGCGCTAGAAATACTTGGCTTCTAGTTACAGCTAAAATGCTATTTTGTTTTTTTATTTTATTTTTTTGTTTTCCATTGATATAAACTTTGAGGGATTGAGGTGGTTAAAAATAGGCACCTGAAAACAGAAAATGCTAATGAAGCTTCTCTCTCAAGTCTATTAAATCTTAAAGATTTTTTTCAAAATCATTTCTTAACGTGTGTTTTCTTCAAAAGTACCAAGCTGAGGAGCTACTCTTATTTTCACAATTCTACTAGTAAATGTTTCTGTTGAAATATGATCTGAACTGTGAGCTTCTCAGTGGAATACACAGTTTAAAGGGTTTCTTTAACTAACAGAACTTGTGAGCAAATGCCTATTAATGCATTAGGCATAAAATACCCCCCTAACAACTCTCTCTTTTACTATCTTGTTTGAAAGTTTCATCCTTGCTCTTGGCAGCTCATCTATGATTTCATTTTCTTTGTTAATTATCACAGCAAAACATTTCTAGTGACTATAGTAGACTTGTTACTGTAAAATCTGCCTCTTTGAAATCTGGATAGCATCTTTTGAGTACAAAATGACTTGTGCTCCTTCTTCTGTATAATATGGGAGGTTAAGATGCTATTTCTTTATCTCACTAAAAAATCTGTGCTATCTGAATAAGTACTGAGCATTATATAGATAGCGCTCTGAATGTAAAATATATGTTGTCCTGATCTTTCAGATGTTTTTGTTTAATATGTCAGTTATGAGTCATCAGTAAGAATTTAATGGAGGGTAGCAGTCCTGTTTCTTTCGTGGCTTGTTGTTGTTGCTAAAGCCTTTTAATTGGAACTTTTTTACATTTGTGTATGGGACTGCTGAGTATTGATATATGACACTGTATCCAGTCTACTCCCAATAGCCCCTTAAAAGTTGCATTTATAAAAAGTCTTTGGCAAATCCTTATCCCCTATGAAGTAGGGAGTGTTTCTCCGTTATGACCAAGCCAAATACAAGCTACTTAACAAAAGTCTTTTCAGAGAAAAGTTTGTGGTGGATTAACAGAGTAACCCAAATATCACAGTATGTTGGTTGCTGTTGTGACAAAGGATTTTGGGGGTGAAGCAACTTAAAATATCACAGGAGATGCAGAGTACTTTCTAAATATTTATTGATACAAGTATAACACATGGAATCTAATTACTTCCAGTTCAGCATTTTGAAAGCCTTAAGCTTAAAATTAAACCAGATATTACCATTTAACTGTGGTCTCCTAAGGTCAGTGGAAAAACTCCCATTGAGCCAAAGGCTAAGTTCTTAATTCTGTATAGCACTAGTTGAATATGAAAAGGAAATTAAAAGGCCAGGGAGAAAAATGTCCTACAAAGTATTTAATCCTGTTGCTGCTTAATCACAACACCAGCAATAACATGAAAGTAGCAATTGGAGCAGAAATAGACACCTTATCAGGGTTGGTAATTCTTTTTGATGTAGGAATTTGACATTACTAATGGCTATTATCTTTGTCTCAAAAAAAGGAAGGAGAACTATGGAGTTTCTTTCTCGCACGTGTGTACAGTGCCTTAAGCAGCTTCTGAGTCTCTGGGAAAAAAAAAACCTCAAAATTGTCTTGTATGTCGTGTAACTGAACATACTGACAAAGTCATCTCCAGAACTTATAAAGAGGGAGTTTTTTGGCCTGATCTAACTATTCTTTTTTTTTCCCCTTTATGAGAATGAATGAGATTTTACTTGCCAGTCATAAGTAACTCATAGGACAGAAATTCTGCAAGGCTGCACTTAAATAATGTATATCTGTTGAGTTCAATAGCTCTAATTTGTCTTACACAAGAAGAGCGATTTCCTCATACAGAAATCAATCTTAGAATGAAGCTACTGTTCTCAATATGCTTGTCTAATCCTGGTATTTTGCAAAGCTTATATCCCCTGGCAGGAAGAGACACTGAACAGCTTTGATTCCCTCTGACTTTACTAGGAATTTTGACTGCTGAATATTTCTCAAAGTTAGGCCTTCTTGATTTTTTTTTTTCCTTTTTTTTCCTTTTATGGAGTGTGTGTGTGTGCTCACGTGAGCGAAGGTGGAAGTGAAGGAGTTGTGATGGGCTCCAAGCAGCCAAATTAATCAGTCCTTGTCTGAAAACCCTGTAACTGAAGTAATTTGTATGCAGATTATACAAACTTCTTAGGAAAAATTAATCAAGGTCTTTGACATTCTTCATAAATCTAAAACATGTTTTACAGGAAGTGTACTTTGAACTGCAAATAACATCCTCCATAGAAGTGAATAAATGGACTCTGTTTACATACCTTAAATAAATGATCCCAAGAAGTTCATTTGATAAACATCTGCCTGGGGGGGGGGAGGGGAGAAGAAAAAAAGAAAAAAAGAAAAAAAAACAAACAAAAAAACCCAACTAGGCTTACTATTTCTCTCTAAACCCAATCTAAATAATGATATGGCAGTTTTATGGTTATGGTTGAATTCCCTGGTATTTCTTACGTATTAGGCAAATAAAAGTCACTGTGTTGTTATGAATATCTTTGGGTTAAAAAAAATATTTATTTTGGGCAATCTCCTTCCTGTGGCTGTAGGATTATAAAGGACCAGCACAATATTGGACTATTTTAGGTCAGAATTTCTGTCCTGTGAGTTACTTACAATTGGCAAGTGAAATCTCACCCATTCTCATAAATGGAAAAAAAAAAGATATTGTTAGATCAGGCCAGAACCCTCCTTCTTTATAAAATCTCACTTAGATGAGACTAAACTCATAGTTGGATGACACCCAGGGGAAGAGAAGCAAGTTTTCACCTTTAGCAGAGGAGTTTATCCCCCAGCTTGCACTTCTGAATATCTTTATTTCTGAAAATACAGGTTTATTGGCTTTCCATCTCAGTGGTCAATAACTACCGCATTCCTGAAAATGTAGGCTTTTAAACTTAATCTAGATAGAATAGATTCTTGTGTTACTCACTGAAATGTCTCAGCCTCTTTTGGAGTTCATTAAGTAGTTTGTTTCAGTAGTTATGTTGGTATCATTACCTCCACAGATTAATTATCAGACTTTCAGAGAGGGGGTGTCATTTGTTTGTTTGTTTTGATACTGATGCAGTGTTATTTCGGGGTTATTCCATGCCAACTTCTTTTTCTGGAGATCAGTTTCAGCTCTCAAGCATAAGCTGTTATTGTTCTTGAAAATAAAACTTTGTATTATTTAAATACTTCCTTCTTTAACGTGTCACTTTGTGTATTTACTACTGTTGATTCTTTAATTGTAAATATTATCAGATGAAAAGAGAGAAATAGATGCTATTTCTTTAAGATATTTCATCAGAATAGTAATCTAATTTCCATAAAAACCTAAATGTACCTTAAATGGCACTGGTAATTGTTACATTGTTTTTTTTCTAAATGAGAGTTATGACTCCACATTAGGTTTTTTCCCTTTTATTTACATAAGTAAAGTTTACATAGAATGTCTTTCTCTTCTTTTTAGAATAATCCATTTGGCCACGTCTTTACGGCATATTTATCAAGCTACACAAAAGGGAGAGAGGGGAAGAAGAGAGAGCTGACAGAAAACTGCCTGGTTTTATACACTTACAAATCCCTGTATCTGTCTTAACAGGTGAAAAACCATTTGAATGTCCAAACTGCCATGAACGTTTTGCTAGGAATAGCACACTCAAATGTCACCTGACAGCCTGTCAGTCTGGAGCTGGAGCTAAAAAGGGAAGAAAGAAGCTGTACGAATGTCAGGTGGGTAATGGAAGCAGCAGAGTCTGAGGCTAGATAGCTCCTTCCTGTGCTGAGGGAGTGTGGGAATGTTGAGCAGGAAAGGCAACAAGAGCGGGCTTATCTCTCCACGAGCTACTTTTAGTGAAATAAATATAAGGATCGCATTCAACCACAATGTGCAGATAAATTCCTATATCTGAGTAGTTCCATTTAAAATATGGAATTACTGATATGGACCCTCATAATACTTGTAATCAGAGTCTTATGGGTTGGTAAGTGTTCATCTGCATTTTACTGATCTTTCTGCTTCCTTTTCAAGGTTCTTGATGCACTGACCTAGGCCTTTCCTGCTTGTGAGCATGCTTCACTAAAGTCCAAAATGCAAACTATTTTATTTCCTATTTTATTATTCTTCTGTTTGATACCAATATATTGACTTTGCCTGGAAAGTCTTTCCAACTTATGATGACAATCTGTAATGTCTTTTAAGCAAATATAAATGCTGTAAATGGATAGCTAGGGTACTTGGTCACTATACGTAGCTGACATTTGAAAAGCTGTTCAGAAGAATGTTACTTAGCTTTTAAAAGTTGATTCTGAAAAGCTAGAAAATATGAGAGCTGAGGTTGATTGTAGCATTTTTATTTGCCGTTTTGCTGCTCCACTGCTGTGACAGTCTCAAATAAGAACATGCTTCCCCCCCTCCCCCTTAAGGCTCTCACCTTATTCAGTTCACAGAATGGCTGTGGTTTGAGGTTAAATTGGGTTGTGTAGTAAAGAAAACTGCTGGATATGGGCTTTATTTGTTCCAAAAAAAGAGAGTGATCTTATTCACAGAAAGCAGTGAATACTGCAGGAGATGAATTAATTCTGTGTGTTGCTAATCAAATTATTTAATCAGAAGTTTCACTGATGCTATTGCATCATTTAGTTGTTATGCTAGTCTGAAGTTAATTCTTGGGAGCATACCTTTGTCTTAAAGATAAGTTTCTTTTGAACATGAGAACTACTGTGTAACACAAAGTTGTACCTAGTAGCTTCATTGAAGATACTGTTTTGTCTTTGTGACCCTTTGGTTTAATTGCTTCACCTCATAGCTTTCTCTGTTACAGATATTGTGAATGTGGGTTAGTGTTATTTCAGCCTGCAGCAACTACAGCAATTATTGAATGAATAAATTTTTCTTGATTTTTTTTTTTTTTTTCTCTTTAGAACTAAATTTGAATAGTGTTCAATAAATAAAACCTTGGCTCACTGAACAAAGAGGAGAAAACAAAATTGCGCTTGCTTGATGAGTGCTTTTGTTGCTCTTTATTGTATGCCTTGAGTACTGAATTGGGCTCTACATGGCAAGAACAGTAATTATGTGCTTGAGCATTGCTGATAGTCATTACCTTTATGTACAGCTAAGTAATTTTGAGTGCTTATCTATAAGGTTAATATTTTAAGAAGTGTGTGTGCAACTTTCTAAAGCGTGAGTCGGGTTTTTCGGGGGGGGGGGACAAAAAGCATGTCACTAGCATCACAAACATGGTTTTAAGACTTCAACAGCAAAATGGGGATATTCAGCTCCATTACACAGACCTGTTCCTTGAGTTAATCCCTGTCAGATACTCCATCATCCTTCTGTGCTGTTGCTGAAAATTGAGGAGATGGAACATTCTGTTTCAAAAATGTTTGCCAACAGTGAAATGCATGTTCTTTGCTTCTTTCTGCAGCTAAGAACACTTGCATGGACAAAGACCCCTGAACCTGTTTCTTTATTCCGAGCCTGATTCTACCCCACTCTTCTCTCTCTTCTATCCTGGTACCTCATTCATTTCTGCAGTGTCTTTGTGTGTTGTTTTCAGGCTACTTACCTCAGTGCCAGCTGAAGGGAAGGAAGTGTGCTCAAGTGCTTTGTGAAAATAGTATGTCTGCAGTCAAAGCAGTACTTTTAGCTGGAAGAGACTTAAAGGTTTTATCTGCTGAAATCACTCAAGTATTTTTTTGAAATGGCAAAATGGGAGAGTTTAGTCTAGCCAGGTAAATCTTACAATGCCATGAACAAATGAAAGCTGATAAGGAAAAGTTGGCTAGTAGTACTGCATCTAGAACTTCAGTAAAAGGACAGTTTGTATTACGCTTTCATCATATAATATTATTACATAAATAGCTTTCCACCCAAAATTCTAGCACCAGACATTTATTGGGGCATGAATATGTGTGTGAATTTCAAATAAGGTTAAAATAAGAAAACTTTAAAATGCTGTACTGACTCATAAATTTTATAGGTATCCTGTGTATGCACAACTCAAAATGGCACACTGTTTCTTAAAAATAAATAAATATCATGTCTTCTGTTCATCTGAAGCTGACTTCTCAGCTTTCACCTCTAACGTACGTGTTTTTTTTAATCCAAATAGCAGGAAGCTACGCTATGTGAAGCTATGATCTGAAATAGGCACTATACTTTGTCGTATTTCTGTTGGCACAATTTAACATACTGTATCTTTTGTTTCAGGTTTGTAACAGTGTGTTTAACAGCTGGGATCAATTTAAAGACCACTTGGTAATACACACCGGTGACAAACCCAACCACTGTACCTTATGCGATTTGTGGTTTATGCAAGGCAGTGAGCTGAGAAGGCATCTCAAAGACATGCACAATATTTCAGAACGAATAGTGACAGAAGAGGTTCTTCCAGCAGAAGCTGTGGAAGCTGAACCAGTAACATCAATGACTATAATAGAACAAGTGGAGCAAGTCCATGTCCTACCAGTAATTCAGGTACAAGTGGATCCTGCACAGGTAACTGTGGAACAGATGCACCAGGATCTCATACAGGACAGTCAAATGAAAAGCACACAGATGGAGGAACTGCAAGAACAGGTGCAAATTAGTTACTTGGAAGTTGAACACATTCAGACTGAACAAGGTGCTGAAGTTCATGTGGAGCAGTTACATGTTGAGCATGTAAATCAAATACAGATGGAAGAAATACAGGCAGAACTTATAGATGGAACAGACCTGGAACAAGTAGAATATGAAATTATTGATCAAGGAGAAGCAGAAGAAAAGGAAACTAGTCAAATAGATGGTGTAGATAAGGAAGATCATGAACAAGCTGAAGACTTAAAAACTCAACAATTAGTGGACACGCAGAATGAAAAGGTTGATGACTAGGACAAATAACCACACTGTGCAGGTTTAGGAATGAAATACCCAATTATTTTTGTTAGCTTTTACATTGGTTTTTGAACTGTCAGTGGTCATCTTTCCAATATGCTGTCATTAGGAAGCTGGACAAGTGGACCAAAGTTAGCTTTCTTCATGTACAACTAAACTTCCCTCATATGTGAAAAATAACTTTCCCATTCATGTAATACTATGGAATAGAAACTACCACAGAGATGGACAGCTTTGTGAGGATTTTAATAATGAATAGCTTGTATCACTGTTGCACCATCCCTGGGTATATGTAAGAGTAACATTACCTCTTTTCCTCTTTCCATAGAAGCAAACTCTTGTTATAGATTTGCAGGGTGTCTGTGGCAGAAGAATCTGTAAAATCTGGTGCGTTCTATTGTAAGTGGCAATTGGGTACCTGTGAATTTTCAGATCAGGCTGTTTTCTGTGT